TATCTTGCAAAATGCAGCAGAGTTGCACATGGGAATGCAATAATCTCATCGAACCCAGCTTAGTGGACGCATATGCGAACTCGTAAGTATTTAATCAAACATTTTTACATGATTGGCGCTTTCATATGCTAACTACCGACGGTACACCGAAATAGATTGTGGTTGAATGAATTGTGAAAACGTTGAACAGAACAATGTGTTCAAACAAACAATAAAAGCAGGAAAAAGTAATAAAAAGCAATAAAATAAACTCTACGCTTTTACATAATACATGGCGAAAATCGACTTTTAGCAAAGGAAAGTAGAACAGTTTTTAAAAACACCCAATGAAAAAAGCACCTTCAAGGGCTTTTAAAAAACGAGTATCGAAAATAAGCACATTCAAGCATTTTTTAAAAAGTTACGCGCTATGTGATAATATATATTTAACCTTTCGTTTTTATTTCTATACATAAATAAACAAAATTCATAAAACTGTTTAAAGGAAGAAAAAAAAACGGAAGCAGTCGAAAAATATGCCGAATAGCTTAACTAGGAATGTGGCTTGCCATGGCGAGCTTTCAAAAATTTTACGTAATATCTCCTTCGTAAATTAACTAATTTCACACTTTAAGAAATTTGTCTTTTATCATAATACTATATTAAATTTGGGATTTTTCTCCATGCACTTAACTAAGGTTTTTCAAAACACTTAACACACTATAAATTTATATATATATTTTTTAATTGAATTATATTGACTGCAGCGTCCAAATTTGTACCAATTTGCATTTTTCAGGGTGTGTAGCCAAATTTTTCAACACAAAATAAGCATCTTTGAAGCACTCAAAAATATTTTAATCACTTTCCGAAAAAAAAAATTAGGATCTATGCAGTAAGAAAATTTTTTTTCTATCGTTTAAAGTTCTTAATTATAAACATAAAATTAATAAAATTCAAAAACATTTTCAAAAACTTTACATAATCATAATAAAATAACTAGTTTCTGATAAATATTGCAGAGAAAATTGTGAAAATCATGCAGTTTTTGTAATTTAGAACGACAATCGACACAGCAAAGGAAAAAAAAATCTTTATAAAAGATAGAAAATTAAGCACTTATCACAAATCCTGAATAAAAAAAGCACCTTTAAGGGCTTTTAAAAACATACATCAAAATTAAGCACTTTTTAAAAGCGCTACTCATCCTGTATATTAAATTTGGAATTTTTTCAATGCATTTAACTAATAGGTTCTTCAATCTCACCGAACCCAGATCAGTAGACGCACATGCGGATCGAATTTGTTTAAATATAATCCTTACTTGTCAACGTCTTTTTTATTTATCCTAGATTTATTATTTGTATTTAATTGTAACCGTGATTATTTTTGTTTCGTGCATCTGGCAATTAGCTTGTTTATGTTCCGCATAGTTTCGTGCCTGTCTTTGTGTTAAGCAAGAAATAAATCAAATCTTTATTTGTGAAAGAATATAGAATGTGTCACTAAAGATAATTCATATTTTACGGACCAGGCTTACTCGAAATATAAAGAACAGTTGTTATATAAACAATTGCCACGTTTCAACAGTCAGTCTGGATCCATACGATGACATTGTTTGCAAGTATCCAATTGTGAAGGTAATTGTTTTAGTTTGATTAGAGCAATTGTGATTCACTATTTTGTAAGTTATTCAGTAATAAGGTAATTATTTTAGTTTTATTCTCTTATACATTGCCCATACTCCTGGAACAACCATTTTGAAACTATTGAAAGCAAAAACAACTACATTTCAATTCCAAAATTGTTATCTTACAAAAAATGCAACTTGCAATCTGCACTGAAAGAATGGTCTGAAAACGTATTTAAACGAAAACTGGTCTAAATAAGTAAAATAGTAGGTAGTGATTTAGTAGTGCTTTATTTACGCCGCACTAGAGCTGAGCAATGGGCTAATGGCGACAATCTGGGAAACATCCCTGAGGATGATTCGAAGACATGCTATCACATTTTTGCAGCCCGAATCAGATGAAAATTGCAGATTTGTGTAAGGATCATATAAACAAACCTAGTGCTTTCAATACTAATTTTAATGAATATTTTAAACATAATTAACTTGTAGTTATGATTTCGGCTTTCAATATTGGTAAAATCCTAGAATAGTCCAAGTCTTGACGACTTTTTGAAATCTCGCCAAGTTGGCGGCTATTACTGGGATCAATGTTGCTTATTGATTATTAAAAAAAAAAAAATTTAGAAATTCAGTATATTTTTTAAAAAAAACAAAAATTATCTTTAAAAATGAAATAATAACGGTAATCAATGAAATAACATTTAAAAAATGAAATAACGATGATTCTAACAATAAGAGATCTGAAGTATATATGGCGAAAAAAAAGCCATTTTACCTCTTTTCTAACGATATCGAACTTTCGCGTAGGTATACATATCAAATAACCAATCAGGTTTAAGAATTTTGGTGGTGTGATCGGATGTTCAAAATAATCTCCACGAAATATCTTTCGGAAACCTAGTTTGGCGAGATTTCAAAAGCTTGCTTGGCGAGATTTAAAAAAAGAGCCACGGGATGGGCTATTCTAGGATCAACCCTTAATATTTATATCACTGATGCACTTGCTAATCAATCCCCAAAATAGTTCAGACTATTTTGGGGAAAGTACAAGACTGAGGCTGCTAAACCTTACTTGGACATAATGTTCCTTTCATTGAACTTAGTTTCTTTATAGATTTAAGGAATGTTCTAAAGCATTCTAGAATTTATGAATAAGGTAAGGGCTTGAGGGAATAGTACAAGGATGATGGTGGATCGTTTGGAGTCCATAATCTGTTTTTATACGATCATTAACTACAACACCACTAAAATTTGAGTTTCGCTTGGCAGTAGGTTCAATAAACTCTGATAACATGCGTTTACCTACAGTGCGACGAGCGAATTTCTTAAAACCAAACAATTAGATTCATCAATGTTAAGTTACTTTTTCCACTATTCCAATCCTTATTGTGTACAAAGAAACTTCTTAAATTCATTTCTTAAGGCTATGAATCTATCTTACTGTTTAAAAGTTTACCAGGGTCCTCCAGGAACTAATTTACGATCCGACAGCCTTTAACGATACTCTCTCATTTTTGGAGATTTTTATCTTGGTTGTAGTTGGTCACAATAATAATTCAAGCTCCTTATTGTTTAAAAATTTGTTACCTGAACTAAAAAAAAAGTCAAAATTAATGTTTTTCTTTATTTAAAAAATGCCAAACAAAAGAACTGACTGCAAAAAGTTCCGTTGTAGACGAGGGAGAAAAAAAATTCTTTGTATCAAAATTGCCATTTAAGAGAGTATTTCACTCCACCCATTAAAAAGAGTGATGATCAATAACCCGCTAGTTTTTAGAAAGTGTACTACTTTTCTACAATCATTTGGTGTTTAAACACTAAGGAACCGTTCACACTGCTTGTGATTCAAACAACTTCGATTACCCTTGAAAGAAGAGGGGTTTGAGGGTGGTGGAAAGAATATACGTATTTGACAAATCAGGTTCCCATTCTCCTTCAATGGCGCAGATGCTTTAATTGTATGCAGTGAGAATGGCTTTTAAAGAAAGTTCTTGTTTATAGAACCTTAACTATTCGCTATCGCAACGTTTGAATACGCCATCCGGGTAGAAGACCGGTTTCATGTCTTGACTCTCCCCCCTTTCTTAATATTTTTCATATTTGACTGTGAAAAATATTTTTTTAAAATTTCCCTATCACTCTCTTTTAGAACTACGTTTAATATAGTTTGCAGTACCATATAGTTTCCTAACTTAAAAAGTTTTTAACCTATTTGTAAATCAAGACAGAAACTAACGTACTTCCTTCTCCTATGACTCTCCACACGCTAATGGTGAAAGCATGCGAAGCGTTGCCATAGGAAGAGAGTTCTGCTCTATGCCACATGTAGCCTGTTTCGATTGTCATTAACATGCCCGTACTTATTTTGTGATTTTTTCACGATCACTCACCCACTTTATTATCGTTTAAGACAGTACGCTGGTAAAATTTTATTTCATTTTATAACTGTCGTTGAACAATCGACCCGGTTTTTGGGTCTAAGACTGCTAATGTTCAACTCCGTAGCCTTTCTTTTCTAAAGCGTTTTCTTTTTATTTCCAGTTTTATTTTCAACTATATTTCTAATTTTTAAATAACAATTTATGTACTTTAATGTTTAACACTTAAAATATTAAAATCTTTCATTAAAAAAAAAAGATTTTAAGTAAGGTAATTTCATTTATATTTTAAAAAACATGCTTCATTAGATCACCAGAATTATTACTTTTTTTAAATCTTTCTTATAACCGATGTTGAACAGCCGGCGCAATTTCGGGTTTAACCAATGTTCAACTCTGTAGCCTTGTAATTTTGAACCAATCTAGAAGACAATGAATCTCCTGGATTAGTACCCCCAGAAGTATGATTTGTTATGGGAACATGGAGGACTTTGTGACAATTTTAACGTGCATCAGAGAGCCGGGATAGCCTGGTTGGAAGGGCGCTGAGCCCATGTCCGAGAGGTCGTGGGTTCGAACCCCGCCGGTCGAAGACTCACCGTGTAGTAAAGCGACTGATGCACGATAAATCTGTCGTGTCGCAAAAGTCCTCCATGTTTCCATAACAAATAAATACCTCTGGGGGTACTGGATTGGAGATCGATCGTTCTCTGATTCAGGTCAAAATTACGATCTGTGAATGAATGAATGGATCAGCCCTATAAACGGGCGCGACGTATGGTGTGGCAGAAGTCGAATCCTTGGCCATAGATGGCGCCACTGGAAAACAAGAACTATAGCACCCCCTCTGCTTAAACAAGCATACGTCAACAACGTGCATCAGTCACCATTTACTACACGGGTAGTCTTCGGTCGGCAGGGAATCGAACCCACGACCTCCTGGCTATGGGCCCAGTGCACTACCGACCAGGCTACTCCGGCCCACGTTAGTAAAATTGAAGAATGCTTACCTCCCCTGACGTGGACATCCCTGCTGAGCACTGTACCGACAACATTGGCAGCTTCACATCGGTAAACATCGGCATGGACATCCTGTCGGTATTGCTCGGGTCGAAATGGCCATAGGACGAGTGTGCCATTGGGGAGGGTCTGCCGAAGTCCGGGCACGTTGTCGGCAAGGGAGCCATCACGTAGCCGCCACCTCACACGAGGGCTAGGGTTTCCATAGGCTAGGCAATCGACGAAGGCTCCCGTTATGTTCAGGAAATCCACTTGAGAAGGAGGCTCCGAAATGAACACAGGACCCATTCGCTTCTCGCTCTCGTACCCTACAAAAACAGAAATTTCAATTTTTTTTAAACAAAACAAACAATTTTTTTGCCATACATTTTTCTTTGCTATAACTATAAAAGTATTCAATAAAACTAAACAAAATTTTTAGAACATTTTAAAATTAATTATTAAATTTTTCCTTTAAAATTTGTGAAAAAATCGTTTAAACCTGTGCAAGATAAGGGTAATTTAAGAGTTCTTTTATTATACCGCATATGCGAGAGGAAAATTAAAAAAAATAATTCCTTATTTTGTAGAGAATCATGTTTGGCAACTAATAAAAAAAAGTCCGATGATTTGAATATCTTAAAAATATAAAAAGTTTCGAGCAATTTTCTAAGTAGTTTTCGTACTTTTTAAAAGAATACACAAAATAAGGGGTTTTCCACACATATTTCATTTTGCACTATTAAACAAAACTTATTAAAAAGACTCCGGCATTTCTGGATATCCTTTCCCATAAAAGTAACATTTTACCCATTGGCAAGATAGGTCTTGTTTTATACTTATTAATTATTATTAAGCAAATTATACTTTTTTCTTCCTTTTTTAATTTGTCGTTTGCTTTTTTAAAAAGTAATCTAGTAACTAACCCATTTCCAATCATCCATTTTAATTTTTTTTTCTGTTTTTTTTTTCCTGGCGAAATGGGTGTTGTTTTAGGATTGATGACGTGCGCAACTTATCTGGACGTCATCACACTTTTCAACTGTGTTCAAGAGTAATAGTAAACAGTACGCATGCGTCGTCATTGCATGCGTTACTATGGTGACAGCTTTTTCTTTTATTTTTACTAGCAGGCATTTTTAATGTATTTATATAATAATTTAAAGTATTTTTATATTTCTTTTATTATTAACTTATAATTACTGTCTTGGAGGTGATTTTAATATAAATACTGAAGAAGGGAAAGTATTTTGTGACGTCTTGAAACACGTACGTAGACAGGATTTGAAATACCAATACGACGAACATCAATTGAGACAGTTTTTGCAACCCATGATTTGAAATGATTTCAAAAAAGTACGAAAATTACTTTGAAAATTGCTTGAAACTTTTTAAATTTTTAAGGTATTCAAATCGGACTTTTTTAGTTACCAAATACAATTTACTACAAAATTAAGAATTTTTTTTTTTCCTTTACTTTTTCCCGCGCATGCGCAGTATAAAAGAAATAGTTTAATTACCCATATCTTTATCACTTTTGAAGTAAGAATTTTGTAACTAATTTTGAATTGATCTAAAAATATTGTTTAATTTTATTGAATATTTTTAAAATTGTAGCAAACAAACATAAGACAAAAAAATTAGTTCATGAAACAGTTCATATCTTCATAAATATTTAAGCTAGGCTTAAGAAATTTTGAGTAATTATTGCATATAAAAACCAAAATAACTGTCACACGTTACAAATCTATAGCTAAATTTTTATAGCATAGTTAGTTTAAGAACATTATTTTCCGTTTTTAATTTATTGTCAGATCCTCAAACATTTAAACTTCATTGATATGTAAGAGAAATCGTATGATCTTCTGAAGTTATAAAATGAGTTAATTTGATTTTTTTTATCAGATGTTCACGCACGTATAAAAGTTTTTTTTTTCATTTTGGATTATATTTCAAAGATAACTTATTGAAGACACACAAAAAAAACAAAAAAAAACAATTAATGCATAATATTAGCAAGTTTCATTTATGTCACAATAGTTCGAATAAAGCAAAACAACCCAAGCAGCAAAATAACTTTGACCTCATAGGACCAATATACAGGAATCTTGTGCTCATATAGGTCCCATATTGAGCCAATTTTGAGCCCAACTGGGGCCAAGGTAAAATTTTTACAAGAGAATGAGAATAAAGCCAAAAATAGGTATAGAAATGGACATAGTTTTGGTTTTATAAACAAAAACCTTCTTCAGCGTCTAAACACCAGGTGGCAATAGAGAAGTAACAATAGAAATACATACAAAGTCGTTTAACCAGTAAGGAAAGAGAATTATTTACCGACCTATATTTTTGGGAATCCTTCCGTATTTATAAAAATTCAAATAATTTAGCTAATGATCTTCCAAGAATCCCATCCTTTCCCGACTCGATGTTTAGAAATTTATTTTAATTCGATTTCTACATTTTGCACTCTAGGGTTCCCCTCTAAATCGTCTTCACACCCGTTTGTTATTTCCTTTACTATCCAGCTCAAGCTTGTGACTTTTTCCTTACTCATTAAATCACTTTTTACGTGTTTGTCTCATTTCTTTCTACTGTCATTTGGTGTGTTTAGACACTGAGACTTCTTCTTGTTTATAAAACCGAAACTACAGTACAGTGGTGTAAGAAATAAAGAGAATTTGCAAACTTGGTCGATTATCTCGAGAACTACTGGACCGATTTTAATGAAATTTGATGTGTTCATACATTGATACAATACAAGACAAATAACCATTCAACAATTGTAATACGCATGCATGATCGCGCGCAACACTCGTTGGAGTCGGAAGGCATAAAACAGTTGAACAGTCGGTTGCAGAATAAACAAACAAAATGGGGTAATAGGGGGTATGGTCCCCTCTTACAGATATACAGGCCTTGAATCGTGATTTCATATTTGAAATACCATGTTTGAAATTTGACAGTTTATCATTTCCTGTGGCAACTAGTACGACTAGTTCAGCAACGCTGTTTTCATTCCCCGGATGGTTCTCGGAGGAGGGTAGCGAGTTGCAATTGATCTCCCAACAGCATTCCAGGCATGTTATATAGGGTTGAGGTCTGAGATCTGGCTGGCCAATCCATTCGGCGAATATCCTCACTTTCTAGAAATGCGTCGACCAAAAGAGCTATATGTGGCCTCACGTTGTCGTCCATTAAAATGAACTCAGGGAGAACTGCGCCCCTGAGAAAGCGAACATAGCATCCAAGACCTCACACCAGTCACAGAGCCTCTTTCAAAGACATGGAGAGGTGTGCGGCCATCTAACACAATGCCTCCAATTCGATAAAATATGGAAATTCTCTTAATTTACTTCACCAGTGTAATTCATTTTTGTGCCTTCATTTGGGAGTCATAATGGGAACCAGTGCATGAGGACAGATTGCTTGGCTCGCAGGAGCGTGATGCATATTTGGTCCCAAAGTCGGCTACTGAGCCAAAAAGGTAGGGCCTGCGAAAGCGGGGGCAAAAAACTCCAGGGAGTTTCCTCAGAGAAACGAATGGTGCGGGCCAGCACAGTCCAGTAGATGCGTTGAAGTTTGCCCGACACAGTGTGGGTGGGTTGTTGTTGTAGTTCATTTACGTCGCACTAGAGCTGCACAATGGGCTATTGGCGACGGTCTGGGAAACAGCCCTGAGGATGATCCGAAGACATGCCATCACAATTTTGATCCTCTGCAGAGGGGATGGCACCCCTGCTTCGGTAGCCCAACGACCTGCACGCGAAGTCGATCACTTTAAGGTAGCACAGTTTAACGAGGACCCATACCGCACACCATCGGTCTCTACGCAGACTGATCCAAGTGGTCACCCGCCCTCACACTGACCGCAGCCAGTGATGCTTGACTTCGGTGATCTGCTGGGAACCGTGTCTTAACGATCAGTCCACTGCGGGACCAGTGTGGGTGGGAGGGGGACTGCCAGTAGTTTTTAAAGGCAGCGCTGACAACAACGACCCCGTGAGCCCAGGAGAACGCCTGGTGTTGTGGCGTAGTTGGGTGGCGTAGAGCAGATGAGGGGTGTTTCGAGTACCCCCTGCAAACGTGTGTGGGAATATTTATGCCGGCGTTCCCCCACGAATTCATAGCTGTACCTTCATTTGTGCTTTATTCACGTTGTTTTGCTTTATTCTGTGCAACACAAAGTATACCCGTTTCGATAAGCCAATGTTTTGTTCAACACATTATGTATTTTACAACACACAAGCAGAGAAGAAAAAAAAGAAATCTAACCTCGAACGTAGGCGAGCAGAAGAAGGAAGAGTGTCTTCTTCCAAACCATGTTAGAGAGGCTGGACGGACCTCGTTCCTCTGGGGACCGTCGCTACTCTCCTCGCCCTCCACCACATCCTCCTCCTCCCTGCAAAAAAAAAGAACAAATACTTACAATTATTCGAATTCTTGTGTTTGTAACTATATTTGTCATGTTAGCATAAATCAGAGTGCGTAGCCAAATCTTTCAACAAAAAATAAGAATCATTTAAATACTTTTTAAGCACTATATACTTTAACAAAATGCAAAACAATTTTCAAAGACTTTACATGATCATGATAAAATAAGTAGTTTCTGTCAAAGAACTATTTTTTTATTATATTAGCTATTATAAAAGCTACCAGTCTTTCGGATTTATTTCGGAGAAAATTGCTTAAAATCCTTATGGACAATGCATAATTTACAATAAAATTTTGTTCAATAGGCCTTTGGTGCCTGCAACGCTTATAAGACATCTTGAAACTAAACACCCACATCTGAAAGATAAGAGCATTAGTTATTTTGAAAGACATTAAAGAAGCACATCAAGTAGGTGACTTAAACAAACATGCGAAAACTGCTTTCAGGACTGATGACACTGGAAAACCACACAACATTGATGAAAATCTAATTAAACTACGTATGACAGAAATAGTTGTCTAAGCAAGAAGATGCGGCGAAGAAAGTTGCAGCCGTTCAACATTCCAACAACACTATATCTGATAGGCTTCATAAGATTTCAAAACATACTGAAGATACATTAATAAGTAGTTTGGAGCCACGACGGTTCAGGGGATAGAGCGTTCGACTTCCAGTTCGAATTCCGTCGATGGATGGTCGATACGAATTCCCATCTGGCTTGCACCGTTCACGGAAATATTCTCTGTGGTAGATGGGTTAGAGTCCCCTTGCCGTTAGGCTAACCGTGAGTGTTTCTAGTTGTCTTCCTTTCCATGTAACGCATATGCAGGTTAGTTCTATCAAAAAGTCCTCCGCGAAGGCAAATTTCTCCCAATACTTAATCCAGGTGTTCCCTTGTCTTCTGGATTGGGTTCAAAATTACAAGGCTACGTAGTTGAACATTAGTAGTCGTAAACCCAAAAATTGGGTCGGCTGTTCAACGACGGTTATAAAATAAAATTAGTAGGTTGCAATATAGGACTTCATTTGCAGAACAACTTAATAAAAGTACAGACATCGTCGGAGTGTCAATCTACTTGTATTTGAAAGATAACCTTTCGGAGAATCGATCGAAGATGATTTATTTCTCTGAGCATCTCTGCAAACCTACAAGGCCATTTGAATTGATTGATGCTCTTATAGATTTCTACATCATTCCATCTTCTACATCAGTGATTCATGTTGAATTATTGCATAACGGTTATTAATGTGACTCATTTGGCGGTATATTCGATAAACTCAATGCGTTTTTCAGTTGCTTACAAAGGAAAAAACAGCATCACGTTCACAGTGAGAGACAAAATTCCATCACTAGAAAACAAATTGAGCTTCTGGCTTAAATGAATGCGACACAAAAAACGAATTCTTTTCTCTATTAAATGTACCCCTCAAAGAAAATGAGTTGCAACAAGTAACCACAGATATACGAAAAAATATAAATGAACCTTATTGAACTTCTTAAATACTTTGAAAAATATTTTCTAAAAGATTTCCGGGACATCGTCTGGTTACAGAGTCCATTCGCTAATTGGACCAAACCATCAATGTTAAACTGTGACAAAGTTTGTGAATTTTATAGACATTGTAAATTTATCCTCACTGAAATATAGGTTTAAATCAGAACAGTTGGATTGGACTAATGGATGAATATCCAGCAGTAGCGGAGAAACCTATCAGAACTCTGATCTCATTTCTCTCGACTTATTGATGTATTGATGGTTTACCAATTTATGTGTACACCAAAAACAGATTCTGAAGTAGACTAAATTCTGCTTCAGAGCCCCTGCAACGCAGTTTCGGTCACTAGCTTGTCAACCGATATGTGACGTCAAAGCCACAAAATTTCCACTAAACGCTAAAGGCCTGTTAATATGATCCAAGTTCTAGGACGAAGATTGATTGAAATAGATGGAAACTTGTTTTGCTTTGAGCTTGGATCGTGTAAACGATCATCCAAGTACTTGGTTTCAGTCCTTGGACGATAGTAGAGCACATTCTACTTTCCATCCAAGTTTTTCCTCCATTAACCAATCAGCTTCTTAAATTTTCTTACGTCAACAAGCAGGAGTCAGACTGTGTGATTTTGTTGTTTGTTTTCATATATTTTAGTCCAAATAAATTAATCTCTTATAGTCTATTTGTTTTATTATGATTTTATTTGAATTTATTCAGTAATTTTAAATTCATGTTTAAATTCATGTTAGTATGATTACGTATGATTTTATTGTGTTAAATATGAACAATTCGCAAGTTTTTCTTCCGACCAAACAGTGACATTCAAGAACTTAAATAGTGTCGACGAATAATCTTAATTCTTGCAGAGAGAAATTTCCACCAATTTCTCGAATTCAAGAACTTAGACCGCGTAAACAGGCCTTAAAACGCGTTCCTCGGAAACGCTTTCAACACGCTCCTTTCCGAATAAATTTCTTTAAAATAGCATTCTGCGGCAGACAAAATACAAGTTGAAAAGTTTTTTTATTTATAAACTACGACGAAAATTATCACGAGTAAAACTTCTTTATTTATCATTTTAACTCTAAATATTATACTCATTTTAAAAGCATAGACGGCTAGTTTGTTCTTTAAACAAAATAGTATAGATAAAGAGTTATTGAAAAATCGATAAGAAAATCGTTTTATTTTCTTCCATTTCTCGAAGCCTTTATATAAGATTTTAACAACGATAGCGTTCTAAAAATCAAAATTCACTTTTACTGATGCAAAAAGATCTCACTTCAGTACCTTTCTGCATCAGTACAAAATTTCAGTGGATATATTATTAATTATATATTGTTCGCTTCGTTAAATTTTTGTTGTAGCAGTCGGAACCTTAGTCATCAAACCTTGTCATGTTTTATTTAACAATAAAAGTTCTCTTAAAACCACTTTAAAATATAATAATTAAAAATTACAAATGCCCTTGTTGCTTATGATTTTAAGTTGATACAGCTCTCAAAAGTATAAGCAAATGAAAACAGTATGAGCGTCGTCGGCGGGGCAGGTGGGTACATGCCCTTCCCCCTCAATAATTAGAAATCTCTAAGAGTACCCCTCAATATTTCAAACAAGAAAATTTTTAAGAATCGACATCGATTGAAATTCATCAAAGTTAAAATTCGAAATCTCTTAAAAGTACCAACTTCTCAATATTTCAGACAAGAAAATTTTTTTGAATCAAAAATTCATTTAGGTTAAAAATGGAAATAATCTTTTAATAAAAATGGGAAAGAAATATAAATAATCAACATTTTTTCAAATATTTAGCAGACATAAGAATTTTTTTCTATGCGAAATTAAGAGTGCGTATTNCTGATCTCATTTCTCTCGACTTATTGTTGTGAAACTGGTTTATCAATTTAAGTGTACACCAAAAACAGATTCTGAAGTAGACTGAACTCTGCTTCAGGGCCCCTGCTACGCAGTTATGGTCACTAGCTCATCAACTGATGTGTGACGTCAAAGCCACAGAATTTCCACTAAACGCTAAAGGCCTGTTTATACTAGCCAAGTTGTAGGACGAAGATTGATTGAAATAAACTTGTTTTGCTTTGAGCTGGAATCGTGTAAACGATCATCCAAGTACTTGGTCCAAGTCCTTGGACGACAGTAGAGCATATTCTACTTTCCATCCAAGTTTTTCCTCACTTAACCTATCAGCTTCTTAAATTTTCTTACGTCAACAAGCAGGAATCAGATTGTGTGATTTTGTTGTCTGTTTTCATATATTTTAGTCCAAATAAATTAATCTCTTATGGCCTATTTGTTTTATTATGATTTTATTTGAATTTATTTAGTAATTTTAAATTCATGTAAGTATGATTACATATGATTTTATAGTGTTGAATATGAACAATGCGCAAGTTTTTCTTCCGACCCATCAGTGATATTCAAGAACTTAAATAGCGTCGGCGAATCATCCAATTTCTTGCAGAGAGAAATTCCACGAATTTCTCGAATTCAAGAACTTAGACCGTGTAAACAGGCCTTTAAACGCGTTCCTCGGAAACGCTTTCAACACGAAAACTGCATTCCGGATCTTGCTCCTTTCCGAATAAATTTCTTTAAAATAGCATTCTGCGACAGGCAAAATACAAGTTGAAAAGCTTTTTTATTTATAAACTACGACGAAAATTATCACGAGTAAAACTTCTTTGTTTATCATTTTAACTCTAAATATTATACTCATTTTAAAAGCATAGACGACTAGTTTGTTCTTTAAACCAAATAGTATAGATAAAGAGTTATTGAAAAATCGATAAGAAAATCGTTTTAGTTTCTTCCATTTCTCGAAGCCTTTATATAAGATTTTAACAACGATAGTGTTCTAAAAATCAAAATTCACTTCTACTGATGCAGAAAGATCTCACTTCAGTACCTTTCTGCATCAGTACAAAATTTCAGTGGATATATTATTAATTATATATTGTTCGCTTCGTTAAATTTTTGTTGTAGCAGTCGGAACCTTTTCACAAATTGAAGGGTTATTTATTTTAGCTAAATAAAAATATAGTCATCAAACCTTGTCGTGTTTTATTTAACAATAAAAGTTCTCTTAAAACCACTTTAAAATATAATAATTAAAATTTACAAATGCCCTTGTTGCTTATGATTTTAAGTTGATACAGCTCTCAAAAGTATAAGCAAATGAAAACAGTATGACGTCGTCGGCGGGGGGACGGTGGGTACATGCTCTCCCCCCTCAATAATTAGATGTACCCCTCAATATTTCAGACAAGAAAATTTTTATGAATCAAAAATTCATCCAAGTTGAAAATGGAAATAATCTTTTAATAAAAATAGGAAAGAAATATAAATAATCAACATTTTTTCAAATATTTAGCAGACATAAGAATTTTTTTCTATGCGAAATTAGGAGTGTATTTTAATTTCGTCCCCCTCAAAAATTGGATCCATGGGTAGCAAAT